CCCCAAAACCCCAAAACCCCAAAACCCCAAAACCCCAAAACCCCTATAACTTTATAATATTTGAAAATGGATTCAGCCCCTTCTCCAGAGTAAGCAATGGGTGATAGGTTCTTGCCAACATGTTAGAGAGGATACTGGGGAGAAATGTTTTAAAATGTTGGCAGAAGTGATGGTTGTGGTGAGGAGAAGTTTGGGTTTAGGGAAGATTTTTGTTTTGGGGTGAAATGATATAGGTATGATGAGTATATTTTATGTCAGGAAAAGCAAGTGGATAGTATGTTGGCAGAAGAGCATTATTCCAATTGCAATTCTTCTGAAGTATCTCTTGGACTCCAGGGGTGGCAAATTCATATAGAAAATTCATTTTGAAAATGTAGTTTAAATTATGAGTATTATACGGATTTAAATTGGGCTAAGAAAGCTTCCATCCTCAAATTTTACAAACCTAGTTGTATTGATTGGCTAAACATGGAAAGAAGAAATAAGCATGTTCAAAGTTTCTTGCTGGACTGGTTCCCTGAAAAGCTGAATGATTTTAATGTAAGCTCAGAAAGAATAAAAATTGCCAGCATCTCTCTATGCTTCTCAGGAATCATCAGGAATAGTTCTAAAGTTCTGAACTCCTTTACAATCCATGGTTTCAGAGTTAATCTTTCTCAATTTAAGAGATTAATTGCTTCTTTCAGCCAAGTAAAAACACTCAAACTGAGCACCTGTAAAATTTCCTTGCCTACTTCTTTTACCTTTCCGGAATCTTTGCCAAGTTCAAAGATCAGTGAACTAGATTTATTTGCCTCGGGAAGTAGATTGTATTCAGACTGGAAAAACAATCCTGAGCAATTCAGAAATTTGATTCAAGGATTGGCTACATATCCTGGATTCAAGATGAGTCTCTATTCTCTCCACATAGAATATTGTAGAATCAAAGGTAAAGATGCTGAAAATATTCTGATAGAAAGCGGACTTGAAGGAACTAAAGTATATTCTACCTAATTTGAATATACCTGAATAAATGAGTGGCTTTATATAACCCTAAAACTTATTTCTTGTTTACTTTCTTTATTTAACAGACAAATTTATATATATTGCGAAATTCCATAAAATAATGCTGCTCTCTCCTACCATAAATAGTTATTAACTCTAATTACAAATTTCAATATGCCATACAAAGTCTGGGGTTTTGGGGTTTTGGGGTTTTGGGG